CAACTAGCAGACTAGCAACAGATGTTTTTGGCCAAGGACTGGGAATTCTCTTGGCCCAAGAACCCTAGTTTCACAGGCATTTCTACACAACCAAGACTCACGAGGGCCAGAAATCACCACAGGATGAGCAGCACAGGTTAAAACACTGGGGCCATTACTCAGACCTCAGAAAATCATCCAAGCCCAAACCAGCGCACAGTTGTTTTGCCAAAGCGGCAGGGAGGAGCTTGCCTGTAAAAAGTGGACTGGGTTGAAAATGGAGGGGAGTTCTGTTTTGCTGGTGGCACCAGGTTTGGGTTCTCTTTGGAGTCCGCTCCCTCCCAAAGTTTTCAACTCACAATGGCAGTCAAGGGGGTATGGAGGAATTTGAGAGGGGACAAGGTGGGAGGAAGGAGCAAAAGAGCATGGTTAGGTTTAGTCTCAACAAACCAGCACATACACAAAAGATGTTTTTGCTCAGAAAAATACAGTAAAATCATCATGCAAGTAGAACGCTTAAATCTCCTCTTTTCAGACTCTCTCTCTGTGTATTTTTATAGTTGTTTTGAGTCTTGAACTAGCTTCAGGGAAGGGGTCAATAACAGAACTTGAGGAGCAAGACTTCCTTCCCCATTAACCTCCCCTCTCCACTTCTCCCCTATTTGAAATAGTCCCATTTAGTGCAAACTTCAACCGGAGACTGAGGTTGTCATTGTAGGATAGAGGAAGGTCATGGGTTACTTGTGTCTGCTCAGTGCCCACCCCTTTCCATCAATTCTAGAAGATGCTGGGCTTGCTAGGTCACCATTGCTTGTGTACCGAATCTTGTTTCTGCTTCCTTTTCCAGAGAAGAGGAGGGAAGGAGCCAGGATCAATGGCAATGCAGAACCCCCAGCCTCTTACACACACTCTTATCTTATCCCAACCTGTTTTACAGCAGAGATTAAGGGATGGCAGGGGGAGGCTGGGGTGAAGCATGAGACATGGGGGGAAGGGTTTACTTCCTCCTTCCTTCCATCATCTCTGCACTTTACCCTGATTCCGAGTCAAAAGGCAAATTATCTTATTTCCCTTGGGCTGCAAAAAACTATCTGTGGGTGGTGTCAGTGTGCCTTTTAAACAGTTACACACAAAACAAAACAAAAAGAGGGTTTTTGGTTGGGCCAGCTTCTTCCTCCCACTGATGCAGTAGTAGAGGGCTTGGTGCAACAATGTAGGAGAAAGTGCCAAATTTTTCCTATCTACACAAATAGTATGGGCTCACTCTCCCATCCAAGCTGGATTTTGGCAATCCTGTGGCATTGGGATGATCCAGCAACCCTAAGCTTTTACAATGGGGATGGGGGCCTATCCATAGGCCACTCACTGCTCATTTCCTTCACCAGCCAGGAAGTTCTAACACGCATGACCACATCCGACCCATTCTGAAAATCTTCCTACCATTCACAAAATCCTACTTCCCTTCTTGATTTAAGCACAGTGATGGCATGTTGCCCACATTGTCTCCTACGTGCTTTACATGATTCCTAAACTGTGCTTGATCTTGCTGTTATGTGTGTAAGAGATCACTCCATGGCAAATAGCCCACAATACAGGAAACATGTTAACATGTAAAGGAGGCAATGCAAGATGTCTGGGATTTCATTTATAAAGCTAGTGAGATACTAGCCATGGACCCCCACTCACACTAGGGGTTGGGTTCTGGACTCCTTCCAACTTCCAATATAAGTGATCACCAAGAACCTTTGACAAATCATCTCCTTTCTTTGGGGTTGGGTTCTGGACTCCTTCCAACTGGTTCCCCCATAGTATAAGTGATCACGAAGAACCTTTGACAAATCATCTCCTTTCTTTCTTTGGATTCTTCGAGTTTCTTTCATTGGGTAATATGCTCACAGTGTACATGCCAATATTTAATCACATCTGTTTGTTCTAAAGGAATGCCTTCCTGTTGTCTCCTGTCAAGATCCCATAATGATCATCACATTCTAGATACCGTCCCTGGAGATCTAAAAGAAATCTTCCCATTGAATTCGTCTCACTCTCAAAGAAAACCTCTAGATCTCAAAATGCACACTTAATCCCTGGCATTTGTCTTTGGAATTCTTCTCCCTCCCCTTACCCACAAGAAAAACTTCAGCACAACTTTGCCCATGGAATCCCACATAAATTCTCTCCTTGACATTTCTACTCTGTTCTCACCAGGTACACATGCCTCTGAGATCCCAGTTTCTACTGGTTTCCCACAATAAACAAATCCCTGAGAGTTAACCCACCAACTCAGGATGGCACCACTTGCAAGACACTGGAATTACTTTTGCTGTCCATATCAATGTGCAGATCAGTGAAGGGTCTTTCTCTTCTGTGGTGCTGAGGGGAAGCACAGAGTTCGGTGTGGGAGGGAAGTGCTCTGCAACTCAGTAAACTTCAGAGTTCAGGTAAATTAATTCTTTCAACTTTCATATTCTACAGACTGTAATCTGAAAAAGGGAACATTTGCAAGCTCTGATAATTTAGGAGGAAGAAACCAAGTCCTCCTTTAGTGTTTTGGACTACAACATCCCTCAGCTCCAGTCAGTATGGATAATGGTCAGGGGAGTTGTAGTCCTAAACATTTGGAGACCACGAGAGTTGCCTAACTGTTCTGTAGGCACTTACTCTTCAGCTTTTGACTTTTCATAAGATAAATTCTGTCCTAGAAGACCGGTTTCCACTTGCTCACATTCAGCTACACTGTCCTCTTGACCCCTTCTCACTCTGAGAAGGTCAATGGTCCCCAGATGTTATGGATTGAAACTCCTAGAAGCCTTCACCAGTAGTTGTGCTGGCTAGGATTTCTGTAAGATGTAGTCCAAGAACATCTGGGGACCTAAGGTCGGGAAGCACTGCACTAGATCATGGTGTTTCTTTTAAAAAGAAAATCTAGCTGTTCTTCATGCTACTGTTGCATCCTTCAAGGAGCCAACTGGGAAAAAAGGAAAAGTGCTTCAAGAGGCAGATAGATTAGCTTTGATTGCAAAGCATTCCTCTCTCTCCTCAGCTAGCATGTATACATTTGCAGCCTCTGCCAAGAAAAGAGAAGTTTCTCATAACAGAAAGGGGATCCAGTCTGTAGTCTTGAGACAAGGACCCTTTGACCCACTTATACTCATATGGCAACATTTGTCAATATTTAAACACACATACAGAGGGAAGAGGTTTTCCACAAAGATGACCTCTGCCCGGGATGGTTAAACTTCAGAAAGGAACGGCTAGCGTTAATTCCGTGGCTGCAGTAGCTTGTGCTTTATCAGTGTGTTTTGAGACAAAGAGGACAAGATGGATGGGTGTGAAGGTACTACTTACTAGAAAACATTTGCAAGGCAGGGATACAAGGAAGCCACACGGTTAGGAACATAGGTAATGGCCTTCTCCCGAGTCAGGACACTAACTAATCTGGTATTGCCAGCTCTGACTGGCAGCAGCTCTGCAAGCTTTCAGTCAGCATTCTTGACTGACTTTGGTTGGAGATCCCTGGTATTCCTCAGTGATCCATAACCAGGTGCAATGAGATCAGATATGCTCAGGATGGCATGGTTGGGAGCTAAAGGAGGATATGCCTTCTGACTCATTACAATGTATATGAAATGTGGAGCATGGGGCAGGGCAGAATAAAAATGGTCAGACAGAGGGTCCCTTTTGCTTGGCACAAGAATAGGAGCTGGCTTCACGCCAAGTCCGATACAACTTAGATCCTGCTGAAGTTAAGTGAGATAAGTTAGTTAAGCCTCATGGATGTTGTGGGTAACTGTCTCTTCAGCAAAAACAAAAACAAAAACTTATTCCATTCCCTCTCATAATCTCCTGGAAAACAGAGGTCCCACAATGTGGCTCTGTTATGTAGATTAGCACATCACCTATAGTGTGATGCTATACCAGGATACCATCTCAGGTATTCCAGCTAGATCTTCTTACCTATATGACCTCCTGGTATCTCTATCCCTCTGGTCTCTGGAGGACACACTGGAACTGACGAGTTGACTTGTAACAGCCCACACAGCCCCAGCTTCCTTCGGCCCTTCTGCCTGTGCATCATTCTCAGGTACTCATAGTGACACCCTTCCCTCATAATGTAAAGTATGGAAACATTTATTTCTCCTTATGTTCCCAGAATCAACATTATTGAAGCTATAGTCCAAAGAAGTAACTTTTCAGTGCCTAGGCGTATAATGAGGCATGGTAGTCATTAATGGGACATCAGCAGCTGCAAGGAAGCAATGGCCATGGAGAAGAGAAGATGGCAACTGGTTCAGTGGGTAGAACTAAGCAGGCTGCCGGTTGAAGCAGCTGGTGGCAAAGATTTTGCCCAGATGCTTCATTAGCCCATCTCTATGATGATCCATTGTGCAATGCATTGCCTGTCTCAACACCTTTCACTGAAGGCCTTCCTGGAGAACAATATTCCTTGCTTTCCCAGGTCCATCTCACAATATTGCATCTCAAGATTTTCCTAAACTTTATATCAAAACCACCAGCAGCTGCAGCATTAGATTGTTCCCCTTCACTCTGCTCCCACTTAGGTCAAATTCTGGCAGTGAGGTGTAAACAAAGTTAAGAGTCCCCTACAGGGAATCTTGTCATGGATCTTATCAAGTCTTTCAGAGGAAGGAGCCATGGACTTAATTCTGTCTGCTGGTCAATGTTGAGACTCTGCTCCACAAGGATGCACCATATATCTCTAGAAGAATGTATGTGCTGTTCCTTTGATGATGGTGGTGAGGTCAAGACTCCTTGAGATCTTAGAGGGGTTATAAGTACTGTCTTCCTCTCCTTTTCCTCCTGCTGAAGATCCTGCCTTCTCAGTTTTCAAAAGTTACTTTCTTCAATTGTAACTGCCATAATCCCCAACCAGCAGAATAGTAACTTTTCAAAACTCTGCTCTTTCCCTATGGCGGACAGTACATGGTCCCCTCTTCTTGGAAGACAGCTGAATGATCTACTGTGGTGACGGACACTTCTCAAAAGCTAGTGCTCTCTCTCTCTCTCTCTCTCTCTCACACACACACACACACACACACACACACACATGCTTTGTCTCCCTAACAAATGGGAATACAGAAAACTCAGGATACCCTAGTATGGGGTCATTCCATTACCCAGACCCTTCCACAATGAAGGAAACCAGGATATCCTCCAGCCATCTACATCAATCATTGCTCATGCACATGTGAGGATATGCCAGGAAAACACATGTGTGTGCACACACATACACACCATGCACAAACATTTTGCTCTTATTTCTGCTTGTAGATATCTCAGCAAGATATGAGATAAATGGTAGCATGAGAGTAGGTCTAGAAAACCCTGAGCATAGAGATGACATTACGTTTTGTGACACCACATCCTTTTCTTGACACTGGTGTCCTTCAAATGTGACCAATGGTGTAAGGAAATCATTGGGCCGGATCCAGATTTAGTCATGCTCAGAGAAGATGCACTGACTAATGTCCCATTAATTTCAGTGGTGTATGACTAAGAATGTATATAGACAATTGTACCAATTCGATAACACTTTAACTATCATGGCTCCATCCTGTGGGATCACTGGATTCATAGTATGGTGATTAATTCAGGGGAGGGGACTTGAGTCTCCAAGCACAATATTCTAAGTACCTCCCCAAAATGCAAACCACAGCTTTCTACTCGATCCAGCAATGGTGTTTAAAGTGGTATCGAATTGAAATAATTGATACAATCCAAGTCTAAATTCCACCCATTGTTCTGTGAGCAGTTCCAGAAAAGTGGAAATAATATTTAAATGACTAACTGTAACAGAAGTCCTGGTTACTAGTGTGGGCTTTTTGTATGAATTTGGGAGCTGTGGTCCCGAGCAGAATGCTAACTCCACATTGGGTACTTATGTGACATGTCTCTGCCCATATATTTTGGGCAACACTATTCCAAGGGTTTGTGTGGCCCATTATGTAGGAGTGTCTCCTATGCACTAGGATAATTAAAAAAAATGCCTGTAAGCATGGGAAAGGGAAGAATGGAGAGGCAGCATCACCACCATCCCCATTTTGCAAGAGAAATGATGAGTAAAAACCTGCCCCTTTCTGGAATAAAAGAACAAGGAAACTAAAATGATGATTAGTGCCTTCCTTTTTGCCTAGTTGGTATCCTTCATCCCTCATCTCTGTTACCCATAAACCCATGAGGCTTGCTAACAGCCATTCCCCTCTCTCCACTGCAGTATCAAAACAAGAGTTTCCTCCCCACCACCTGAAGGAGTCAGAAATGGTCCCCATAACACAGTAGACACAATTCATTTCACTTGGGTTTTTCCTGTTCTTTTTTGTTTGTTTTGTTTTTTGTAAACTTTAACAAATGGTTTTCAGTTTCTGTTGTCAGGTTTGTTGTTTTAGGTTCACAGTCAGGTGGGTAAATTGTGTGTGTGTGTGGTTAGAGTTTCCCCCCTCCCTTTAATGGGAAAGTCACAACTTCTGTTGAGCAGAGACACCTTTCCAGTAATCCAAAATATCGTGCAGATCTTCGTCCTTGGCAAACTGGACTTTCTTCCTCAGGGCGTGGCCGGCTGCCATGTAAACTTCCTCCCGGTGGTGCTTCTTGTAAGGCCGGAAACGCTCCCAGATCTTATGGGTGCTCTCTGATGAGTACTCTGGGCTTGACGAATAGCCCGAGAAGTAATGTCTAGGCGAGAGCTGGGAATATGTGGAGTCCCGCTTAGAACGGGAGAGTGGCTTAAGGAAGGACACCCTTTGACTTAAGGTATCACCACTCTCCTCATAGTACAGAGCTGGAAAGGAATGCCGGTGTTCACTGCAATGGTAGGAAGGTTTTACCTCCAGGTGGTGGATGGCACCTGGGGATACAAGGGGAAGACGATCCAAGGGGCTGTTGAGTGGGCTTCCTTTCTCAATGTACTTGGAGTCTGCTTTGCTCAATGGTGGATGGTCAGGTACATCAAGACTGAAGACCTTAGCACTCTTGATGGAGCCACTGGAAGAGACACTGCAAGTTTTCCGGGTCACGGCAGCATCTGCACTGAGCTGGCGCTGCAGAGGATGGTGGGAACTCTCCTTGTAGGGCGGTGAGAGGAAACTTGGCCGCTCCAGTCCACCAGAGGAAGTAGCCGGTATGGACTGGCATTCAAAAGCCATGTCAGAGTCAACACCACCCCCTCCCCCCAAGAATGAGGCAGTGTCCAGCTTGAGGGCATCAATGCAGTTGTTGATTATCTGGTTCACCTTGTCTACTTCCTTGGCAATTGTTGATATTTCAGCTGCTGAGCCTTGCCCATTGTCTAGTTCATGAAGGTCATCATCCCTCTGTGACCTGTCCATCCCATCCCCACCACCTGTCCGAACCTCTATGTAATTGCCCTTGGTAGTGACCTTGGGAGTCTCCATGCCAGCTTCCATAGATTTCGATGAAGGCATCTTCTCACCAATCATGGATGGAAGAGAGGACATCCGGGAAACAGGGATAACTGGTGGCTCTCCTAACTTTTGTGATGGATGAACTATTGAACTAGTGTCAATATCTGAACCATAGCGCATCTCCAAAATGGTTTTTTTTACATTGAGCGATTTCTGCTTCTCCTCTTGCATCCGACGCTTCCTCAGGCAGTAGTACACAATGCCAAGGATAATAACCATCCCGAAAAGGCATCCCAAGATGGTCATGATGTAATGGGTAGTGGTGGAGGTATTGGGCATTGGTTCCTCTCTCCCTTTGCTCCTAGTAGCAAAGGAGAGGCAGGTGTGGTTATAGCGCTTGGAGTTACGTATTGAAGCCACACAGAAGGTGTAATCTGTGTGAGCCTTTAGGTGGGTGAGAGTGACAACTTCCTTCTTCTTCTTCAGATTCATAACATCAGACATGTAGCTGTTATTGTACTGAACCAGCACATACATCTTGCTGTAAGGTGATGGTATTGTCACCACCAAAGCAGCTGATGTTATAGTCACCTGCTGGAGCTTGATGCTTGGGTTGAAAGAGGAATCAGTGGTGGCAGATGCTGGAGGTTCAACTGAGAGGAAATCACCTGGGCTAATGCCTGAGTTTTCAACATTGTCGTCCAGGTCCCTCTGAGGATCTGTGATGAATTGGGTGGGTTTGATTCTGGAGATGGGTGGAAAGGTACCATCCCCACACATTGACTTGAAGATGGTGATGGCATTGCGACTATGGTGTGGCCGAGGCATGAGAAGCGGATAGCCAGCAAACTCCCGGGGAGTCTCACACTGCAGGCGGTCATAGTTTTTTGTGACATTGTTGAAGGCTACCAACCACATAAGGAAGCCATAGAGGTTGCAGTCACAGTTGAAGGGATTCCCAGCAAGTTCACACACCATTAGGTTGCTCAGGCCGGTGAATGTGCTTCCCTCTAGCCGGCTGAGGCGATTGGAGGACAGGTCAATGCTGATGAGACTGGGACATTCGTTGAAGGCATTGGGGGTGACCACCTCAATCAGGTTGTGCTGCACAAAGAGGAACTGGAGGCGGCCCATGCCACGTAGCATTCCTTCAGTCAGGTTGGTGAGCTTATTGTAGCCTAGCTGCAGCACCTGCAGGTTGGACTGCCCCATGAAGGCTCCGTCCTCAATGTAAGAGATCTCATTTTTGGTGAGGTTGAGGTCCGTCAAGTTCCCAAAGCGGCTGAGAGAGGAATAGAGCACCACTTTGAGTTTGTTCTCATTCAGCCGCAGGTCATGCACAGTGCTATTGATGTGCTGGGGAATGGTCTCATAAGGAGGCTGGTTCTGGCTGCAGATTGCAAGCCACACATAACCTTTGTCTCCTTCGATCAGCCAGCAGTCACTACGGATCAAGCTGGGGGCAAAAACACAGAGCAGGAAAGCCACCCAGAATCCCAGACGGAGCATGATGGGCTAAACTGCCCCCTTTTGGCTAAAAGAGGCAAAAATTGCAGCAAAATTTGAAAAAAGGAAGATGTCAGAGAACAAGTGATGCCCTGGGAACTTAGAAACAGAAGGGCTTAACCATCCCAGTCCTATTTGGTGCCACCATCGCCACATGTACCCCGTTTCATGAACAGACAGTGACAGATCTAAATGGATTCAGGATTTGTTTGAACTGTACTTGGAGTGGGGAGGGGGAGATATATAGTTGGATATATTTGTGCTTCTTCTCAAAGCCAAACAAAAGCAAAACATTTAACTCCCCCACACCCTCCCCTCAACAACACCATGATGCGTCTGGAAGAACAAGGCCTTTGTGTCACTAATACTCCTCTGGTATTTCTTCTTCTTCTTCCTCCTCCTCCTCCTTCTCCTCGTTCTTCTCTCACGGATCCCCTCTGGAATGCTTCAGAACTTCAGATCAGACCCCAAAAATGTATATATAGATATATAAGGAGTGGAGCAGAAAATGGGGAGGGGAGAGAGAATGAGAGAGAGAGAGAAATCCATCTGTCGCTGAAATCTGGAAAGGAAACACACAAGAGACAAGAAGAGGCATCAATTAGGGGGGCTTTGAAATATGAAAAAAGACAGCTATGTTTCTTAGTTTCACAGAGATTGGGAAGAAGCAAGTGGAAACGCTGGGGTTGGATGGGGGGCATGCCTTGGATTAGTACTGCCAGTACGTTGAGAAGCTTTGGCGAACAAAACTCTTGTAACATAATCTTGTGGATCATTGATAGCTAGAAGGGTACTTGGATTCTGTTACATAACAAAGCCAAAGTCTAGTTGGGAGTGGAGGGGGAAGCCAAGAACATGGAAGATGAGAGAAACAAAAAGGAGGATGTCCAGCTGTGGTTCTATCGGCTTAGAAAATCAGTGGGGATTTTCAGCTGTCTCTGTAAAGATACACAAATACACACGTACACAAGATAAATAAATCAGGATTCCAACTAAATGCTTTTCTCTTCCTTGATGCAAAAAAAAAAAAAAGATAAATAATTCATTTGTTGTATAACCGCTCTTGTTCCGAAAATAATTCTCTCGCCTTAGCACTGATGGTGGGGAGTGAGGGGAGGTAGGGTCTTGCTGAGTGCAGAAGGGGGGGGGGCTTTAATTGGTGGAAAGAACGGTACAGCTGTGATGGTCACAGCTGGAATGGATTCATGCTGAGGCACAGAGAAGATGTGTCAACAACACCACTAGTTATCCTTGGGGCTGATCTCTCTCTTCCAGTATAAGGAATATATCACCATCATTAGTAGTGAACGTGTGCTTCCCCCACGTGAGCCACATAAGTGCTTCCACACCCCAGACTGAGGACTGCATGTATTTTTACAGTGAGGTGATGATCAAAGCCATGGCAGTGTGCATGTGAGACCAGGTATACCACCTGACCTGCAGAGTGTCTGGTCTTTTTTCATCCAACAGACAAAAGGCAAGTTTCTAATGGCCATGCTGGTTGGGGAATTCTGGGAGCTGTAGTCCAAAAAACAAAAACCTTTCCAAACTTTGTAAACTGACTGTATATTATCGGAAGAAATGGCTTTCTTCCCTCTCCAGCCAGAACCTGCTGTCAAGTTGGTTTCACTGGGTGAGCAGTAATTCTACAGTAGACAACATTAAATATATATTTTTGGACTACAACTCCCAAAATGCTCTTGCCAGCATGGCCCCTATGGAATGAGGGCAACTCTTTCTCCACTTTCTCCTATTTATACAAGCCTCTAAACTTTTCTCCTTGCAAGCCTTTGCTAAACAATACATTTTCCTTTCATATTTTTAGGATCAAGTTTTCATTTTTAATGAATACAATATCAATGCTCACGAGCAGATCATGGGTTGAAGGAACTGATCAATGATTTTTTAAAATGTAATTTTTTGTTCTTTAAATTTTAGTTTATTTTAGTTTCCATCACTTTTCTCTATATGTATATTCAGAATTAAGTCCAATGAATGCAGAGGGTCTTCTTTCCTGGTTCAGTGCAGGGCTGTGGCGAGGCTGAAGAAGCCCAAGCCAAGATAGGGAAGGAAAGAAATATTAAATTCCAATTCATAAGCCTTGCCAGATCACTTCCACTGAATGTTTCTGTGGCTTGGGAATTGCTTGTATCAGCTTTTGGGTGGTGTAGATAACGATCTTGATTATAAGGACTCTTGGAGAATGGAAGACCTTAAGATCTTCCATTGGAACATCCAATTTCAGGATCTGCTGACGGTGGAAATGTCACCAGTGGTTGATCTATGGTGTTGAGCTTTCTCCAGAGATACCAGATTCCCAGCATAACTTTCCTTTGCTTCTATAGAGAACTTTTGCCCTGTTCTAGCTTCCTCCAGTCAGAAAATCTGGGATTAGAATTATTCTCTTAGATGTCAAAGCTGATTTGCCTACAAGAGCTAACAAAATGTGGGCTGCAGGCTGCCTGTAGCTCCCTAGGGGCCCCAATACACCCAAACAGCCTTTAGCCTTGCAAGCACAAATGCATTCCAAACTGGTTAAAATGAAATACATTTCCCCACAAGCAGCCATGCGTTATGGCTCACGCCATGCCTTTCTTTCTCCCCTCCACCCAATAACTGAGGTCAGGTGCCATAAGATCTTTTTGTATCACAGGAAAAGCCTAGCTGTGTAACTCAGAGGAGGGAAGACCTGACAAAGAGAGAGGGGGAAAAGTGTTCAAGAAGCATCTTAGCATTCATTTTGCTTTCACTTAACAGGCACCTTCACTTCATTCATTCTTGTTTTACATGTAAAGCCTCGACATTTTGGATCACGAAGGAGGTGACAAGTAAAGGTAGACTACCCAGTTGTTGGGGCTTTGTTCTGAATCCCTCAGCCATCACAGTGCATACTTGAATAAAATCATGTGACATGGTTGTGATGTTTCCCACTCTAAATAATCGTCATTCTTGTAAGAGTATATGAATCAATTCATTATGCTTCAGTGCTGGGTATCCTGACACGTGAAGAGTCCCAAACCTTTGTATACACACTGCAGTTTAGAGACTTAAGACAGCAATCAGCAAGCTATCATTATCCTATGGTTGTAGTTCACACCAGAATGTAAATATATGATGGTGGTGATTCACATTCCAACTTCCAGAATTTGCCAGCTGGCACGGCTGGTATCTCCTAACCAGCGCTGGCCCTTCTCCAGGGCAGTGCTACCTACTTGTGTTGGGTTACCACCATCCCCAGGCTTTGGCAGTCTCCAGATTTTTCGTTCTGAGGCTGTTTTGCTAAGTTCTGCCCTGGAACTTTGCCCAGTTCTATTCAGATCTCTGGGAGGTCCAGCTCCTTGCCCGAATTCCCACCTTATCCAAGGACTTGCTTCTTTGATTCAATTTCTAGTCTGCTCTTGTGAACTTGCCCCTGAACATGGCCTGCATCAGCATACACACCCCACACAAACTGCAAATCTGCAAGACTCTTCTGCAATATGACTACAGTTTAAAAGGTATATGGATATATTATATGAGTAAATTAATCTATTGCTTAAATTTACACATAATGGGAAGAATATATCAGAAGCAGGAAGCTCACAGGCACTGTCTCAGCATCATCTGAGAAAAGGCATTCAAACCATATAAGGAGAGAAGAAAAATGCTTCCTTTATGAAATCTAAAAACAAGTGGCTCTTTCTTGGATCACTAAAATATTTAAATATCACATACTAACATATTTAATGATATATTTAATGATATGTATAACATTTAATATTTAAATATCTTTGTGATCCAATAAAAATATTACTCATTATTTTTCTTGGCTTTTGCACAAGGTCCAGAGACCTATTTTTCCCTTTTTGTCTTTTCTGAAAGTGCCTGCCATTTGTACATTTTAAAAATAATAATAATAATAATAATAATAATAATAATATTTTTGAAAAACTCTTAAAAAGATATCTGTTGCATGTTGGCCATGGAGGGACAATCCTGCACCTTTTCAATGAAAACAAAAAAGAATGGAGGAGGAAGGCACTCAGGTCCTTTTAAAGCTGCTAGGTGCGTGTTAATATCTTACAACTAGAGATGGGGACAAATAAAAAAAATGGCAATTCGTTTTGATCCGTTATTCATGAAGGTTAACAGATCAACAAATACAAATATATTAATATTCTTCGATGAATCAATGGATTGATCCGTCGATTTGTCTACACTTTAAATGGCTATAACACTGGCCCACAACCACCTAGAGACACCAAATTTGCATGGAAGCTTCCTCAGATGGTTTTCTACAACTCCAGCAGGATTAGTGAACATTGGATCATGGACCCCTGAGTTATATGGTCACAAAAAGGACCCTGCAGGAAAGTTCCTCCCAGGTATTTAGAGACTCCAGAATCACAAAGAAGCATCCTATGTCTTTCCCCAACACACCTGCCAACTTTGATGAAGATTGGATATCAAACATCCATTATTTGCGCACAAATTGGTTTCCCCCAGGAGACTTTACCAACACGACACAGAAGCCCATTCCACCTATCGGCCACTGATAGGTGGAAGCCGATAGGCAGCCATCCACACACACATAGCCAGACACCCCCACAGCCTACCCCCACACACCTTTCCTTTCCCTACCTTAGCCCCCACCCCACTCCCACCGACACCCCCTTAGCTTTACAGCTGCTGCTGAGGTCTCCATCAGGCCTTCTCAGCCCCAGCGTGTAAAAAGGGAGACTGGCTGCCCTTTGCAAATATGACAGCTGTGGCTTCACTTAAGGTAGTGAAGCTGCAGATGCCATCTTTGCAAAGGGCAGACTGGATTCCCTTAAGGCAGGCTAGGCTGGCCCTTGCCAACATGGGAGCCGCAGGTT